TTGAGCGGCAAAAATTAAGGCTATATATATATATATTAAGATACTACGCAAGTATACGTATCGTTATCAAGTAATATACAACTTTTTGATTAAGATCTGAATATTAAACTCACAGGAAAATTCACAATATGCACTATTGATCAACAAATTTTCTATTTCAAAAAGACAATTACTTAAACTATATATATTTTTATAGTAATTAAAACTCAAATCTTTTTGGTATTTTTGAGATTTTGACAAAACAATAACAACTTCTAAAGATAACTTGAGTTTATGTAAAAGAAAAGTACTTAATATGAAAATATCTTTCTCTTTATCATGAGTCAGAAATAAGTATAGGATTTCAGTTGTGGAAGTATGCAAATTGTGCTGTGTCAAATATGAGCAATACTATTATTTACCCTTACCAGGGATGCTATAAATAACATTGGCTAATTTAAAGTTTGAATAGTTCTGAAGACCGGCTAGGCAGGGAAGATACTAGCTCTCACTTTAGAGTTCCCTCGATTCCCTTCACCCGGGGGCTAACATCTCGTATCAGAACTTAAAACAATAAAACAAGTTGGGGGCTTTAACCTGTCACTTTAAAGTCCTCTAACTCTACACTCTTCAAAGATTATTTTCCTATTTATTTGCACTAAATCATATGAATTACATTCTCATTCATACAATCTAATGTGATTCTTTCCAATTGTTGACTGAGACAATACTGACCCGGTTCTTACATGTTCTCACAATAAATTTTAACATCTAGATAGACCAGATCAAGAAGTATCTCTTCTTACATATTTTTGGTACTTGTGGTACATAATTCATCTCAAAGCTTGAATTATATAAATCTCTAGAGGTGCTTCCCTACTCAGTAGCGATAAGCTACTCGAAGGGTAAGTCATAAATCACTCCAGTAGCTGGTCTTGACAACTAGCCACGTTAAGGCAACTACATGATCCGCCTAAGTCTTAGCAAAATGTGCGGGTCGACTGAGGCGATCATCTGAAATAGTGATTGAGATCTTGAAAAGTGTAAGACACGATCCAGGCATCTAGTTGGTAGAAAATTAAAAAATGATCAATAGTGACGATATAAACGCCTGATTGGCCTCTTAACAACAAATCTGACCCACAACGCCAAGCATAAAAAAGCCAATCTCAAAACTTAACATAGATCAAGCTTTGAAGGTGGTTACCTGTCCCATAACAATGAGCTTCGTGAAGGGTAAGACATAAATCACCTCTGTAGCGAGTCTCAGTGGTTACACTCACGAAAGCAGTGATAAGATCTGCCTAAGTCTTAGCAAGATGTGTAGACCATGCATTGGAAAATCACAAAAGAACCAATGATTTTTCCCAAAGTCCAAATCATCAACCAACACAAACATCCATCACCTAGATGTTATCATAATAAAACAATGCAGTAAAAGTAAAATAATAAAAGCAGCAAAGGTAAGGAAAAATGACTTAAAAGCTTCATTCATTTCAAATTAAACAAAATATAGAGGTATTATATGTATGCAAAAGATTTCATTTTCAAAAGTTTTTTTCTAAAAAAAATCTATGTAAGTATTAGGAAAACGACTTGCCTTTGACATCTAATTAGTCTTAAGAAGACCCCTCAAAACTGTTATAAAGAACAATAAATTCATCTAAGTCTGCAAAATTTGGGTAGATCAGGCCCCACCAAATGAATATGTTGATTATTGTGATGATGTAGACTCGAAGTTGTTCACTTAGAATCTTTTCCTGCCTCGGGTGGGAAGGGAGTATCTCTAAAAACTCCTCCTCAGTCTTTATCGTAGCTATCTATGCTTTTAGCTCCTGGTTCCCTACCTCGATGATCGACATGAGATCCAAAAGAGTAGCAATCTCCTATGTTGTTATAATTTCTTTGTGTTATCATGACTTGCTTCTCAAACTTCTTAGCAAGTCTGGTCGAGGTCTCACACTTTCCTATGTAGCGGCCCATTTCATCTTGGCTCAATCCAAGGCCATCGACTGGAGGTGGGAAGCCTCCCATGCCTTCAGATGGTATCTATCAGCCTTCTCGTACAGTCCTGGTCACTCAAGCGCCCAAAGAGGCTTAGCAAATGCACCTGACCATATCACCTCTTCAAAGATGGACGGGTAGACTTCATCCAACGATGAAGCACCTTACCAGTCCATCTCCCGGCCAATGGCTGTATACCAACCGTCAGAAGAATTCCAAATCTTGGCCCCTTAGCTCTCTTAGGGAACCTAGTCTAACCCTTCCTCCTTCATTAAAAGGAAAGAGGGGATGGAGGAGTCAATGTAGCAACCAGCTCCTTCCCTTCCCTGCATTGTACTTCCACTGAGATACTGCCTCTGGGTCACTCTCAGACGTTGTCTGGGCAGTAGAGGCAGCTTGACAGGCCTTGATCTTGACAATAAACATATCATAATTGTCGCTTTCAGAGTGCAAGAAACTTGAAGAATTTAGTATGTACACCCCAAAATAATCTTCATGAATCCTTAGGCAGTCTAGCAGTCCAAATTAAAGCAAGTAAAACAAAAATCATCACTCTCGTGAAATACTAAAAGTACTCATGAAGTCAACCAGTTGAAAAACTACCAACTAACTAGCTGCTAACCAGTCGAAGGGCTGGTGACCAACTATAGGCATGAAGAGTGACCGGAAGCCAGTCTGACAACCCAAATAACCAACTAGGGCTATCAAAAAAAAATTTGTTTTTCACACAGCTTATTCTCGGCTCACTAAGAAGCTCGTGTTTGATTCGTTCGTTGATGAAATGAGCTAAACACGAACAAGTTCTTTAAGTTCGATTTATAAACTAGTCGAACATGAACCAAGGTTTGTTCGTTCATGTTCAGCTCGATTCGGCTCCAATTAATTAAATAATAAATATATAATATTAAAATAATATTTATATATTAAAAAAAATTTATTATATTTTATTAATCTTTTAAAAAACTTAATAAGCATTGTAAATGAAAATAAATATTTTGTGTTGGATATGTAAATAAATAAGACTTAGGTGGTATGTAAGTAATTAATAGAAAAAAATGTTCCTGAAAAAAATCAAAACCTATCCCTCTCCAGCCACTTGGTTCTCCCGCACTCTCCCTTACAAAACACACCGAACATAAGCTTTATAAATAATGAATCCTCACTCTCCTCACATTTATTACAGACTTTAGCTTTACTTAGCATTCAGGCCGTGCAAACGTGACAATGGAAAATTTTAAGATAAAAATAAACATGAGCTAACTTTAAACAAATATCTTTGAATCGAGTCAAACATAACACGATTCATTTCAACAACGAGCCGAACACAAATTAAAATAATTCGAATGAGTTGAACACGAACAAGCTTTAGACCCGCTTAAGTTCTGTTAGTTTACATAAGTTCTGTTAGTTTACACTTCCTACTCTTTACAACTCTCCCAAAGATCTCAAGAAATCACCAAAAGACTATAATCAAGCAAACCGACTGTCACCAAGCAAAGTAGCCAATCGACGTCAGCTTGGTCGGCCGACCCAAGAACCTATTGAGCAAAATGTCCAAGCTAGATGAACAGGTACCAGATTCAGTTACAAATACGAAAAGACATGACAATAGCTTATCTCCTATAAATAGCGGTCCATAGCATGTATCGGGGTTTTTAGATCCTTACAAAAACTATACTTTAATGGGAAAACTCTCTCATTTTCTCTTACAACATCTATTTTTAATATATAAAATAGATCACGGAGCTCGAGAATACTCGAGTTTCGCCCCGGCCAAATCCAATGTGTGCTTTTTTATTTCTATTTCTTATGCGTTCTTATCATTCTGACCATTGAGCATGTCTCACGGGACAAATTCAAATTCAATACACTTAAATAAAAATAAAATATAATGCTATAAATTATTCTAAGCGTTATAAAGAATTCAACATCATCTAATTATTTCATTATCACATGATTTTCTTGTCCTTTGAAAAACACTCCAAAAAAAATTGAAAAAAGTTGAAGTCTTCCACACGTTTGATATTCACCGCCTATAAAGTTCCTTCATGGCTCAAAATAAACATTATGCAAATGTCAAAATTGAAATTAAGGAAATAAATTGTGGTATTTTTATCATATTTCATTGTAAAGCGTACGTGAAATATAAAATATTTAATATTTATGTTTAATTAATATAATAAATGTTTATATGTATGTATATATATATATGCATTATATTTACCGTCCGCCATTCTTTGACGGCAAGCAAGTCCCGGCAGTTTGTGGCCTTATTTTTCTCTTCTGCGTCTTCCTTCGTTTCTCTGTTTTCAGAATCTTGACTTGGATCGATCACGTTGAGAAGGTACGTTATTATGTTCGATTTCTTATCTTCTTCTTCGCTTTGTTTGGTTTCAGATCTGTATTTTCAGAAATTGACCTAAAGTTAAATCCCTTTTTGGGTTTTTTGTTGGAGCGATCTGTTCAAGATCCATCTAATCTGTGCGATATTTTATGCGAGTGAAGGCTTGTGTGATTGGTTTTTTTCATTGATTGGGGTCAGCGATTGGTTTCTATCAATCTTAGGTTTCGTTTCTGGTCGTTGAGTACGGCGGGAGATCGTGGATATTTTGGGGTGGGTTTGCAATTAGGGCTAGGGTTTGGGGTAGGAATATGAGGGAGTTGTGTTTAGTCTTGTTGAGGGAGATTGATGGTGGTGAGATGCGAGATTGAGTTTTAAGATCGGATTAATTGGCAGATTTTTGGGGATAACGGGATTTATTAGCGTAGTAGGGTTAAAAGTTTATGTGGATTTTCTGTTTTTCAGATATTTGCAATTTACTTGTTTGATGGATGATGACTGTTCCAATGGATAGCTCGTCCGCTCCCTCTTCACAGGAGCTTGCACAACGTCTCTTCAAAAAGGTAATTTTTTTTTTTCATGATTGAATCTGCCGTAAATGAATTTTATCAATTTTGTTCTTAATTTTATGGACAATTATTCCTGAGAAATTTTCCATAAATTGCTATTCAAGTTTCATTGTTCTTCTGCATGGCAATAACTAGTGACGCTTCATTTTAAGCTCATGGTTTTGTAAAGTTATCTAGAAGTTATAGTTCTTTCTGTTTACAAAATTTGGATTAGCAACTTGTTTCGGGGGTCTTTAGATTATAACTTCATGGCAGAGATCCTGGACTATTTGTTTTGTGCCAATATGCAAAATTTTCTCCTTATAGATGTACTTCATTGAAATTTTAAATTGGCTCAATAACTGAAATAACTATTACTTGGTATTCTTATATCTTCAATGGTATTCTTACTAATTCTGTAGTAGTTTGTGAGCAGCTAAATTTCATATGGAACCCTGAACAACTTTACTGAAATACAGCAGTGCTAGAGTTTTTCTTAGTATCTGTATAAGAATTTATATGGTCATGTTTATTTAGTCTTATCTAAGCATCTATGCTGTATTTTTTGTAAGTCAAAATGTAAGATATTGCTTTCAGTTTTGTTTTTTTTATTTATTCTTGTTATCTAAATGATGTCTATGAAGGAATGGCTGTAATTGTTATTTAGTTTTGATTTTCCATTATGTTTTGATCGAACCATATAGCCTGCTTCAACCAGTTTGTCTTCTCTCAATCCTCTTCTCAATCATTAGTGTTGTCACAACTATTTGGGGCTCAATCGCCTTTCACTCAGTTAGCTAGTTAGTTAATCTTTTCTTTTATGTGACTATCATCATATTGAATAATCATTGTGTGCTTTAATTAAGAAGGCTTTTTTTTTTTGTATGACAGTTGTATGTAGCCATTGATAGGACATAATATTGAAGAGATAGTTTGTGTAGCCAGCTAACTCTTTTTAGGACATAAAATGGACACCGAACTTTTCCAGCTTAATTTTCACTACATTAAATTCTTTTATATAATAATGCCATGTCAATTGTTCAGCCTTTTATTAGACAGTTTCTTTGCTTCCTATGCTTAACATTCTGTACCGTGAAAACAAGTTGCAAATAAAAAACCCTAAATTTTTTTTATTATGTAATTTCATTGTTCTTATCTCTTTCCCACGTTTTTTATTTTCATTATTATAAGGCCTTATTCATTGATTCTTTGAGAGATACCTTTTTATCCAAACTTCATATTCTTCATACTTTTTCTTTGTTGATTGGCTTGACTTGAGAGAGTTTCATTTGCTTGTATTACACAATTTTTTTTTTGTCAATATGGTTAAATGAAATAAATGCTTTTCCCCAGAATATTGAATTAGAAAATGGCTTGCGGAAGTCAGCGCAAGCCAAAATTCCATCAGATCCTAATGTGTGGCTCCAAATGCGTGAAAATTATGAAGCCATTATCCTTGAAGATCATGAATTTTCGGAGAAACATGAGGTAGAGTTTATGCTTTGGCAGTTGCACTACAGAAGAATTGAGGAGTTCAGATTGCACATCAATGCTGCCAAGTCTACAGGATTAACTGCAACCCAAGGTGGGCGAAGTCCCGCAAGACCCGATCGTATTAAGAAAATTCGATCTGCTTTCAAAAGTTTTCTTTCAGAATCAACTGGATTTTACCATGACCTCATAATTAAGATCCAGGCAAAATATGGTTTACCTTTGGGATACTTTTATGAGGGCCCTGAGAGCCAAAATACTCTATCAAAAGATGAAAAAAAATCAGCTGACATGAAGAAAGGACAATTGTCTAGTCATCGTTGTTTAATATATCTGGGGGATCTTGCTCGTTATAAAGGCATGTATGGGGAGGGAGACTCTGTTGTTCGTGAATTTGCTGCTGCTTCTAGTTATTATATGCAAGCAGCTTCCCTCTGCCCTTCAAGTGGCAATCCACATCATCAGGTTAGTTTATAATTCATGAATGGCTTATCTGTTCTGTTGTATGATTGATTGTCATTTGTTGTTTAAATTACACTATTTGGGAACTTCATTTTTTTCAGCTGGCTATTTTGGCGTCATACTCAAATGATGACTTCGTTACCACGTACCGGTATTTTCGTAGTTTGGCTGTGGATAATCCTTTCTCAACAGCGCGGGACAATTTAATTATTGCGTTTGAGAAGGTATTCTTTATTATTCATAATTTAGTAGCACCAAGATATTATTAGATTTTTTTTCTATTTTGTTTTTTCATTTATTTAATTCATCACACGTCATTATGCCTGATGCCTTTTGTTTTGTTCATGCTCTAGATGTTGCATTTTGTAGAATAACTTATTTTGGTTGTTTTAAAGGTAGGTCTGATTGTTTTCAGTTAATTGATTTTTATACCATGTGTCAGATTTATAGTTGGTTCATAATATTATGCCTTACGGGTAATGAGTGATGTATTTTCATTTTGTACAGCACCAGTTTCTCTTGAACATTATCATCATCATCTTTCCAATTGCTGAAGTTAGCTCTGTGAATCCTCGTTTTAAATTCAGTTTTGTTGCTTTTTTTGTCTGGTATGCTTAACCTATTCCTCTTAAATCATTTTGACCAACTCATATCCATGTAATGTTCAGTCTATCCTTTATTCTTTTTAATCCTTTGAAATTAATTTATCCACTCATCTTATGTGTGAATTATCTGCCCTTTATTGTATATGTCCAAATCGCTTGTCTATTCCAAATTACCTTGTTTTCAATACATACCACCTTGATCATATCTCTAATATAATTATTCCATAATTTTTTTGTCCTAATTTTGTCATGCATTCATTTTTATTGTCCCCCAGACTCTTTTAATGAGGCTTGAAATAGTACCCCCTATAAAGAATTTGGGACTATTTCGGCCTATATTTAAAGAACAGGAGGAATAAATTGGCACTTTAATATACTCTAGGACTTAAATAATCTAATGCAAAGAGTTAGGGGATTGGTTATATATATATATATATAGGTCTTCATATGTGTGT